TTTTGAAAGTCTGAAAGTTTTGAAACATTCTAAAAATGCATAGAATGTAAAAGTAAATAAAAACTAATAATTTCAGACATTTAGTCGAGTTTATAGTTTCATTAAACAATTTTGACTAGCATGCTGAAATTTTAGACTTGCCACAAGTAGGACTTCAATTCCCAGGTTACTCCTTGCTTTATGACATACATAATATATTGTTCTTTTCATCAGAGATCAGTCCACCCCCTGATCACCACCCAAACCAGAGGATTCCTCCTCCTGGGATATCTGATCCTCCTCCATGGGCCGGGAACCAGCATCCTGATTTGGGGCCGCCTCCTCACGACTTTCACAGTCAGGCGCCACACATGCGGCAGCAGACCCCATCTCACGTCAGTCAGGACGACTCCAGTCTGGTGCCCAATGTGCCCTACTTCGACCTTCCCGCAGGACTCATGGCGACGCTTGTGAAGGTAATTTTACATTCGACGTCAGCTGGGAAATTAGATGCTTGTTTTTGTCAGTCTCGTCTTAAATGTGAGTTTAAACTTTCTCTTTAACAATAGCTTGAAGATCATGATTATAAGCCTCTGGACCCAAAAGACATCCGTCCGCTGCCCACAAAGCCTCCCAGTGACCGTCTGCTGGCTGCAGTGGAGGCGTTTTACATCCTGCCGTCCCACGACAGACCCAGAAACAGGTGAACACCAATGTGACTGCTCTTGAGTTACCGTTTTTTGGTTGTTTTTATTTAATACTTCAGTTGTAATGACATGAAAATGATAATTTTTCCAGTGAGGGTTGGGAACAGGGCGGTCTGTATGAGTTCCACCGGGCCAAAATGAGAGAGAGGCGGAAAAAGGAACAGGACAAACGCAACAGGTGTGGAAGAAATGAACTGTTTTAATGTATTCTAAATTCTAAAAAATTTAAATAGATGAAAAGCTAAAACTAAGCATAATTACAAATGTTGTCTTAGAAATTCAATAAAATATATTGAAGTGCTAAAGCTACTAAGACTAAAACTGAAATAAAAGCTAAATATAAAAAACCTAATAAAAACAAGAATACACCAAAATTACTGAAACTAAAATGAAAGATAAATAATATTAATACTTTAATAGTATACGAAAATGACTAAAACTGAAATAAAATAAATAAAAATATAAAACCTAAATAATAAAAAAAAATTAAAAAGACAGAACACAGCACATTTTGTGAAAACTAAAATTAAAATGAAAGCAGAAAATAAAAACGAATTCAAAATATTTATAAATAATAGTAAACAAAAAATAAATATGCTAAATATAAAAACAAAATTTAGAAAAACAAACTAAAATTAAAGTGAAAGCAGGAAAAAATATATACAGTGGGTACGGAAAGTATTCAGACCCCCTT